AGAAACTTCCATTTCGACTTAAGCTCTCTCCACTTCCTTTAGAGAACAAAGGGGTGGGATACAATGCCTACATTCATATGTACAGAATGATGCATAGCAGGCTGCTGCTGTGTAGCTGGTTGTCAGTCACAACGCCAAGGCTGGAGGCCCTTTCCAGACCCAAAGGTGAGTCGGCAGGTGACTCAGGTAAGAAGGGCCTGCCTGCAGACAGGTGTCAGAAGCACACGCCGCTTGGTCATGATGTCTCATGCGGAGTCAACATGACCTGGACAAAAGGACAAATGGACACAGAGATGGAGGGCAGATCAAAGGGCAGGAACTGGGCAGTGGCATTGGCCTGCCAGAAAGGTCAGCTGCTGCCTGCTGCTGGTTTTGTGGGAAAGGAAGACAAGGCTTCCAGACCCCTGGGGATCTGTGGGTTTGATCACCCTGGGTGCAATTAGTGCATGACACACACACACACACACAAACATATACAGGGTGTCATAAAACACACACACACATATATATATATATCGTACAGAAAAAACACAGATCTATCTATCTATCTATCTATCTATCTATCTATCTATCTATGTCAAGGTTTCTCAATCTGGGGGTCGGGACCCCTGGGGGGCTCACGAGGGGATGTCAGAGGGGTCTCCAAAGACCATCAGAAAACACAGTATTTTCTGTTGGTCATGGGGATTCTGTGTGGGAAGTTTGGCCCAATTCTATTGTTGGTGAGGTTCAGGATGCTTTTTGACTCTAGGTGAACTATACATCCCAGCAACCACAACTCCCAAAAGGCAAGGTCTATTTTCCCCAAGCTCCGTCTGTGTTCATATTTGGGCATATGGAATATTCATGCCAAGTTTGGTCAATGTTTGAGTCCACAGTGCTCTCTGGATGTTGATGAACTACAACTCTCAATGTCCACCAAACCCTTCCAGTGTTTTCTATTGGTCATGGTCTGTGTGCCAAGTTTGGTTCAATTGCATGGTTGGTGGAGTTCAGAATGCTCTTTGATTGTAGGCGAACTATAAATCCCAGCAACTACAACTCCCAAATGACAAAATCAATTTTTTGAGTGAAGGACATACATTGGGTTGTTAGGTGTCTTGTGTCCAAATTTGGTGTCAATTCCCCCAGTGGGTTTTGAGTTCTGTTAATCCCACATTTTTAGATAGATACTAGATAGATAGATAGATAGATAGATAGATAGATAGATGGATGGATGGATGGATGGATGGATGGATGGATGGATGGATGGATGGATGGATGGACGGATGGATGGATGGGTGGGTGGTCGGGTGGGTGGGTGGGTGGATGGGTGGATAGATAGATAGATAGATAGATAGATAGATAGATAGATAGATAGATAGATAGATAGATAGAATCCTAGAATCCTAGAGTTGGAAGAGACCTCATGGGCCATCCAGTCCAACCCCATTCTGCCAAGAAGCAGGAATATTGCATTCAAATCACTCCTGACAGATGGCCATCCAGTCTCTGCTTAAAAGCTTCCAAAGAAGGAGCCTCCACCACACTCCGGGGCAGAGAGTTCCACTGCTGAACGGCTCTCACAGTCACCTCTCAGCGGCCTTCGATACCGTCGACCACGGTATCCTTCTGAGACGCCTCGCGGGAATGGGCCTTGGTGGCACTGTTCTGCAGTGGCTCAGGTCCTTCCTAGAGGATCGTACCCAGAAGGTGTTGCTGGGGGACAACTGCTCGTCCTCACAACCATTGTCTTGTGGGGTCCCGCAGGGTTCAATATTGTCCCCCATGTTGTTTAACATCTACATGAAGCCGTTGGGAGAGATCATCCGGAGTTTCGGGGTGCGGTGTCATCTGTACGCAGATGATGTCCAACTCTGTCACTCCTTTCCACCTGTCACTAAGGAGGCTGTTCAGGTCCTGAACCGGTGCTTGGCCGCTGTGTCGGACTGGATGAGGGCGAACAAATTGAAATTGAATCCAGACAAGACAGAGGCACTCCTGGTCAGTCGCAAGGCCGAACAGGGTATAGGGTTACAGCCTGTGTTAGATGGGGTTACACTCCCCCTGAAGACGCAGGTTCGCAGCTTGGGTGTGACCCTGGACTCATCGCTAAGCCTGGAACCCCAGGTTTCGGCGGTAACCAGGGGAGCATTTGCACAGCTAAAGCTTGTGCGCCAGCTGCTGCGCCCGTACCTTGGGAAGTCGGACTTGGCCACGGTAGTCCACGCTCTGGTTACATCCCGGATTGATTACTGCAACGCGCTCTACGTGGGGTTGCCCTTGAAGACTGCCCGGAAGCTTCAGATGGTCCAGTGCTCGGCAGCCAGGTTGCTAACGGGAGCGGCACTCAGGGAGCATACCACTCCTCTGTTGAGCCAGCTCCACTGGCTGCCAATCCGCTTGTTGTTCATTCGTTCAGTCGTCTCCGACTCTTCGTGACCTCATGGACCAGCCCACGCCAGAGCTCCCTGTCGGCCGTCACCACCCCAGCTCCTTCAAGGTCAGTCCAGTCACTTCAAGGATGCCATCCATCCATCTTGCCCTTGGTCGGCCCCTCTTCCTTTTGCCTTCCACTTTCCCCAGCATAATTGTCTTCTCTAGGCTTTGCTGTCTCCTCATGATGTGGCCAAAGGACTTCAACTTTGTCTCTAGTCTCCTTCCCTCCAGTGAGCAGCCGGGCTTTATTTCCTGGAGGATGGACTGGTTGGATCTTCTCGCAGTCCAAGGCACTCTCAGAACTTTCCTCCAACACCACAGCTCAAAAGCATCTCTTCCTTCGCTCAGCCTTCCCTAAGGTCCAGCTCTCACATCCGTAGGTGACTACAGGGAATACCATGGCTTTGACTAGGCAATGGATCTTTGTTGCCAGTCTGATGTCTCTACTCTTCACTATTTTATCGAGACTGGACATTGCTCTCCTCCCAAGAAGTAAGCGTCTTCTGATTTCCTGGCTACAGTCTGCATCTGCAGTAATCTTTGCACCTAGAAATACAAAGTCTGTCACGGCCTCCACGGTTTTCTCCCTCTATTTGCTAGTTATCAGTCTTTCTTGTTGCCATAATCTTTGTTTTTTGACGTTTAGCTGCAACCCGGCTTTTGCGCTTTCTTCTTTCACCTTGATTAGAAGGCTCCTCAGCTCCTCTTTACTATTTTATCGAGACTGGACATTGCTCTCCTCCCAATAAGTAAGCGTCTTCTGCTACTGGGCACAATTCAAGGTGCTGGCATTAGCCTACAAAGCCCTAAACGGTTCTGGCCCCTCTTACCTCTCCGAACGCATCTCCTCCTATGAACCGGCGCGGACATTAAGATCGTCCGGGGAGGCCCTGCTCTCGGTCCCGCCTGCATCACAGGCACGATTGGCGGGGACGAGAGACAGGGCCTTCTCGGTGGTGGCCCCTCGGCTATGGAATGCCCTACCGGCTGACATCAGACAGGCCCCCTCGTTGCTGGCGTTTCGGAGGAAGGTCAAGACTTGGCTCTACGAGCAAGCGTTTGGCTAATCAGTGCAACTGAACAACTGAACACAGGAAGTCGGTAAAATTGAACATAGGAATGGCACAAGGATTATGAGAATGGATCTTGTTCTGTTGAGGCGTCATGAATTGATAAGGAATTGATAATAATTGTTGATTTTGTTGTAATGTGTGATGTGTTTTTAACTGTATATTACTGTCTTGATTACTGCAACGCTCTCTACGTGGGGTTGCCTTTGAAGACGGCTCGGAAGCTCCAATTAGTCCAACGGGCGGCAGCCATGATACTTAACAGGAGCGGGGCGCAGGGAGCATACGACTCCTCTGCTGTACCAGCTCCACTGGCTGCCGATTTGCTACCGGACCCAATTCAAAGTGCTGGCGTTGGCCTTTAAAGCCCTAAACGGTTCTGGCCCAACATATCTATCCGAACGTATCTCAGCCTATCAGCCAACCAGGACCCTAAGATCTTCGGGAGAGTCCCTGCTCTCTGTCCCTCCAGCTTCAGAAGTGCGGCTGGCGGGAACGAGAGACAGGGCCTTCTCTGTGGTGGCCCCTCGGCTTTGGAATGCCCTCCCTATAGAGATAAGATCAGCCTCCTCGCTGATGGTATTTCGAAAAAAACTGAAGACATGGATGTTTGAACAAGCATTCGGTTAATCCGGTGCGATGAAGTTGATGATCAAGGACTGGTAATTATAGACGACGAAATTGGATTATGATTTTAACTAAGAGATGCATCGGTCTGTATTGGTGGCCCGATACTGTGTACTGTATATGTATTTTATGTTTTTAAATTGAATATTGTTGTTTTAAGTGTTGTAAACCGCAATGAGTCGCCGTTTTAGGCTGAGATATTAGCGGTATACAAGCGTATTAATAAATAAAATAAATAAATAACTTGCACTGTGTAAACCGCATTGAGTCGCCTAATCTAGGCTGAAAAATGCGGTATAGAAGCAAAGCAAATAATAATAATAATAGATAGACAGGTTGTGCCTTGGAACAGGTGTTGAGCCTGCAACAATATATGGTGGAAGTATTGTCGAAGGCTTTCATGGCTGGAATCACTAGGTTCTTGTGGGTTTTTTCGGGCTATAGAGCCATGTTCTAGAGGCATTTCTCCTGACGTTTCGCCTGCATCTATGGCAAGCATCCTCAGAGGTTGAGAAGGACCTTCTCAACCTCTGAGGATGCTTGCCATAGATGCAGGCGAAACGTCAGGAGAAATGCCTCTAGAACATGGCTCTATAGCCCGAAAAAAACCACAAGAACCTAATGTTTGGGAATGTTTGCTGGGCATCAGCCCCTCTATCTCTCTCTCTCTCTCTCTCTCTCTCTCTCTCCAAGAGGAACCCGGCCAGGCGGGGAAGGCGACTGACCACAAGGGAGAAGAAGGCCCTCCCCGCTGCCTCCCCCTCCCTCTTGGGGTGGGCGTGCCGGGCCAATGGGCAGCCAGGGTGTGGGCGGGGCGGGGGTTTGAATGCGTCCCGGCGGGAGAGGGGAGTCACCTGTGTCCGGAGGGGGGCGGCGTTGGTGGCCATGGGGGGCGACCCGGTGCGGGAGCAGCGCGGGCGGTGGGCGCGGGGGCGGGCCCGGGCGGAGGCGGCGCTGCGGGACAGCGAGGAGGCACACCTGGCGCAGGTGCAGCCCGTGGCCCAGGTGAGGGGAGCCAGGGGGCGGGGACAGGGACAGGGCGTGCTCTGCTCTGCTCTGCTCTGCTTGGGGGTCTTGACCTGCCCCCCCCCTCTCTCTCTCTCTCTCTCTCCTCCCGTGGGCGCAGTACTTCGTGGCGCTGCTGGAGGCCAAAGGGACGCTGGAGCCCGGCGCCAGGGAAGCCATCTTCGGACACTGGGGGGCGCTCTGCGGCATCAGCAGGTAAGACCCACCCTCCCCTCCTTGGGCACCCCAGGGGACATCTAGTCCAACCCTGCTCTTCCATACAGCAAGAGCACAACCAAAGCACCCCCGACAGATGGCCACCCGGCCTCTGTTTCAAAGCCTCCAAAGAAGGAGCCTCCACCACACTCTGAGGCAGAGAGTTCCACTGCTGAATAGCACTTCTTATTTATGTATTTGTTTATTTAGAACAGCATTCCTCAACCTAGGGGTCGGGACCCTTCGAGGGGTCGCGAAGGGGTGTCAGAGGGGTCACCAAAGGCCATCAGAGAAACACAGTATTTTTTGTTGGTCATAAGGGTTCTTTGTGGGAAATTTGGCCTAAATCTCTCATTGGTGGGGTTCAGAATGTGCTTTGATTGTAGGTGAACTATAAATCCCAGCAACTACAACTCCCAAATGTCAGGGTCTTGTTTCCTCCAAACTCCACCAGTGTTCACATTTGGGCATACTGAGTATCTGTGCAAAGTTTGGTCGATATCCATCATTGTTTGAGTTCACAGTGCTCTCTGGATGTAGGTGAACTACAACTCCAAAACTCAAGTTCAATGCCCACCAAAAGCTTCCAATATTTTCTGTTGGTCATGGGAGTTCTGTGTGCCAAGTTTGGTTTGATCATTGGTGGAGGTTAGAATGCTCTTTGATTGTAGGTGAACTATAAATCCCAGCAACAACAACTCCCAAATGTCAGGGTCTGTTTCCCCCAAACTCCACCAGTGTTTGTTTTGGGCCTATTGAGTATTTGTGCCAAATTTGGTCCATTGAATGAAAATATGTCTTACAAATCAGATAGTTACATGACGATTAATAATAGTAGCAAAATTACAGTTATGAAGTAGCAAAAAAAAAAATGGTTGGGGGTCACCACAACATGAGGAACTGGATTAAGGGGTCGTGGCATTAGGAAGCTTGGGAAACCCTGATCTAAGCCCTCCCGACAGATGGCCACCCAGCCTGTTTCAAAGCCTGCGAGGAATGAGCTTCTGCCACACTGAGGCAGAGAGTTCCACTGCTGAATAGCTCTTCTTATTTATGTATTTATTTATTTAGAACAATCTGCAAAGAGGGACTCAGGACGGCTTCCAACAGGCAACGATTCGATGCCAACACAATATAATAACATAACATAAAATACAATTAGCTTACATTAAAAACAATTATAAATATACATTAAAACACTTGGCTGGTTCAAATTGTCATCCAAATCAGTCCACTTTGGTCCACTAAAACCTTCTCTTCACCTGTACATCAGTCTATTCTGTGAACCCTTGATACCACAGCCAGGATTTGAGTTTCTCCCAGAAGATCAGAAGGGATGGGGCAGATCTAATCTCGTAAGGGAAGGAGATCCACAGCCGAGGCACCACCACAGAGAAGGCCCTGCCTCTCTTCCCCTTCAAACGTGACTGTGATGGTGGTGGGACTGAGAGCAGGGCCTCGTCGGATGATCTATAAGTCTTTGGTGGTACATAGAAGGAGATATGTTCGGACAGGTAAACTGGACCAGAACCGTTTAGGACTTTATAGGTTACGACCAGTTGTCCGCTCCCTGTATGCTGCTCCATTGAGCAACATGGCCTGGAATTGTGGGAGTTGATGTCCAAATACCTGAAGGACCCAAGTTTGCTCATGTCTGAGCTAGAGAGATGCTTTCGACTACAGACTGCTGATTCTAAGAAAGATGCTCTGTGTTATCTGCACAGAGAAACCACTTCAAATCTATCTGTAACTAACTGGATTGATATGCAAAATCCCTGTATGCTAAGTACATGAAGTTTGTGAGTAAACCAACTATGTTACTTTTAAAGAAGTCTACTTATTTTTGGTCTCTTGCGAGCATGATTTAAACCAAGATGTTTTAAGGGAGAGGAGATGTTTTTGGGCAACTGAAAGAACACTTCTGAAGATCTGCCACTAGGCCATTAGGAATTGTGGGAATTGGAGTCCAAAACACCTGGAGGGATGAAGTTTACGCATGCCTGATCTAGCCCAACCCCCTTCTTCCTGCCAAGCAGGGTGAAACAAACAAAACAAACAATGTATTGTCGAAGGCTTTCACGGCCAGAATCACTGGGTTGTTGTAGGTTTTTTCGGGCTATATGGCCATGTTCTAGAGGCATTCTCTCCTGACGTTTCGCCTGCATCTATGGCAAGCATTCCTCAGAGGTAGTGAGGTCTGTTGGAACTAGGAAAAAGGGTTTATATATCTGTGGAATGACCAGGGTGGGACAAAGGACTCTTGTCTGCTGGAGCTAGGTGTGAATGTTTCAACTGACCACCTTGATTAGCATTTGATTGCCTGGCAGTGCCTGGAGCAAACTTTTGTTGAGAGGTGATTAGATGTCCTTGTTCGTTTCCTCTCTGTTGTTGTAATTTTAGAGTTTTTAAATACTGGTAGCCAGGCACTGTCAGGCCATTATATGCTAGTCAAGGTGGTCAGTTGAATCATTCACACCTAGCTCCAGCAGACAAGAGTCCTTTGTCTCACCCTAGTCATTCCACAGATATAAACCCTTTTCCTAGTTCCAACAGACCTCACTACCTCTGAGGATGCTTGCCATAGATGCAGGCGAAACGTCAGGAGAGAATGCCTCTAGAACATGGCCATATAGCCCGAAAAAACCTACAACAACTCAGTGATTCTGGCCATGAAAGCCTTCGACGATACATTATTTTCGTTGCAACTGTCCTTTTGCTACCGCTATGAATCGGAAAGCTGGAGATGATACAGGGAGAGAGAGACTTTATGATGAAACAGTAACTCAGTTTATTTGTATCATTCTTATGGTAGAAGCATAGTGGTTACATTGGACCTTATTCAAAGATCTTCCTCCAACCTTGACCTCGGGACTGACCCCTCCTCCTTCCTTTTCAGGGCTCTGCTGAGCTACCTGGAGAAGGGCCTCCTTGGACCGGGGCTGGAGGCCTTCTGTGCCCAGATAGGGGTCTTCCTCCGTTACGCTGAGGACCTGCCTCGGGCCAGAGAGACCCTGGAGGTAAAATGTGTTGCACAGCAAGCGGATCTTAGCCCCGTCCCATGCATAGGATTCACAGACAAGAGTAGAAATGTACAAAAAACCTTTACTCTTAATAGCAGAGATGAAACACAAACTTGCAATGTCGCCTACAAAAAACAAACAGTGCAGGGAACTTACATAGTCTTTGTAAGTAACACAAAAAAAGGCATCGTCATCTTAAATCAAATGAGAAAGCAAAACATAAACCTTGAGCAAACAGCTATTCCAACACAGCCTCTGTTGGGGTTCAGCCTATGTGTGAACCTGAACCTGATTCTCTGATTGTATTCCCTGATGCCAATGTAGATGTCAATGTGAATTCTGAGGCCAAGTTAGATGATGATGGTTTGAGTAGTGAAAATCCTACAGCCTTGGAAAGTGAAAGTCAAAATTCCCATGAGAACATGCATTCCGAGTTGAGTGGAGAAGTTTCACTCCCTTTTCCTCCCAGCCTTAGTTCGCCAGAGAATCTGACACCTGGTCTGCCTAATGAGGATAGGCGGGGGCAGATTTGGCAGAGCCGGGGAGAAGTGCAAAGTTTACGTAGGTCAGCCAGATTGAGAGAAATGCAAACAAAAACGTCAGGCGTGTCTCGCAATAGATTTCTCGGCCTTAAGGATGCCTGGCCTGAATGCAGCTTCAGACCAGGCATCGTTCCAGATTCACGTGCAAGCTTTTGCAGGTCTCCTGATTCAAGTGGCCTTGTTCCTCTGAGGTTTTCTAGTTGTTCCACGTACGGTTAGTGGATTGCTAGCAGGTTCCAGGATTCAGCAGTTTTGCTGTGGGTTTTATGATCTTGTTTATGGACATTTCTTGTTGCTGATTTTTACTGTGACTTTTTACCTTTGCATTTTTCATCTATTTTGTATTCATCTTTCATCAATAAAAAAGGATTGTTTTCCTGAAGTCAAGTGTGGTGGATGGTTGTCTGAGGGTCCAGTTTCCTGCTCTGGGTTGCAACAGTCTCCTTTAGAGCAGCAGAATGGCTTCTCTCCAACCTGCTCCTCAGAGCAGAGCTTTTGAGCATAGATCTCCTCAGTGTAGTCCAAGGTTGCTGGTTGACCTACATTACCAGCTACACATAATAATTATCATCATAAGGTTTTTCTTCAACACACACACACACATGGTCCTGCTATAACTTACTATAACAAGATGTACCCACTGTACACAACCCCATAGCTGCCCTCTCTTGCCTGCAACTCATACCTGCCCCTTGTACCTGCAGAGACAGGTGAGGAAGAACAAGGCCTTCTCTCGTTTCAAGAGGCTCCAGGAGACCCGCCCGGAGTTTGGGGGTGCCTGCCTGGAAGACCTGCTCCTGTTGCCCCTCCGGAGGCTCCGTCAGTAAGTCACAGGGTTGGGGTTGCAGTTGGGAGGGACCCCCAAAGGCCATCCAGTCCAGCCTTTCCCTTCTGCCAGGGAGGAAGGTGTTGATTTATTGACCTCTGAGCGTCTGCTCAGAAGCACAAAAGCAAATAATGAAGCGTGCTACCTCAGTCAGCTCCAAAGCCTCGGAGCGGCTCTTATCTTTTATTGCAGATTTACACTATTTACAGGAGCAGAATAAAACACGTCCATTCTCTAGCTGTACATTGCAGGAAGCTCCAACCGCATAGCAATCTGATTCAATGGAATGTAAACAAATAATGGAAGCCCATTCTCTTCCAAGCGCTCCTGGCAGATGGTCACCCAGACTCTGAGGTTTCTTCCACCCCAGTCTCCTGATCCCCCTACCCCTCTTTTTGGCCTGGCTCTTGGGGTCAAATGCCCACCAACCTCTCCATCCGTCCTGTTGTCCAGCCGGTTGAACTGGGCTCAATGACAAGGTGGTGCTGGGGCTTTCAAGAGCTGCGACAAAATTTATTACAGTACTAGCTGTACTCAGCCATGCGTTGCTGTGGCCCTCAGAAAACAGAGGATTTGCAGACATGAAGCAATCTGGGCTAGGGAACTCCTCCCCTCAAACGTTTCCTGCTGGCTAGTAGAAGCCAGGCTGTTAAGGTGCAAGGTGGTATGGAAAATAAAGTAATGAGAAGCAGCCACTGAAGCTGCAAGGCTTTTCAGTTATATTCATGCTGGCCAAAACACTCAAAAAAGCCTCTTTGAAACAGAGGCTGGGTGGGTTGGGGGTGCTTTGAATGTGATTTTCCTGCTTCTTCACAGAATGGGGTTGGCCTGGATGGCCCACCAGGTGTCTCTAACTCTCTCTGATTCTATATCCTTCTCTTCCCTTCACCAGTTTCCCCTTTCTTTCTTTTTTCCTTCCTTCCTTCCTTCCTTCCTTCCTTCCTTCCTTCCTTCCTTCCTTCCTTCCTTCCTTCCTTCCCTCCTCCCTCCCTCCCTCCCTCCCTCCCTCTTCCCTTCCTTTCCTCTCCCATCCCTGTCTCCTTTCCCTTCCTTCCTCTTTCTTTCCTTCTACCTTTCCTTCCATTCATAATCTTCTCTTCTCTTCACCAATCCTTTTCTTCCTTTCTTCTCTCCTTTCCCTTTCTTTCCCCTCCTTCCTCCAGGACAGTTTGTAAGGGTTTTTAAAGGGGTTTTGGGGGGCGTGAAAGAGGAGATGTGGAGCCCAAGTGGGAGAATTGCTGGCCTTCTCATGGTTTGCATCCTCCCTTCACCCAACCAGAGGGGGGGGGGTGTGTGCAGCCGCTCCTGCAACCAGGCTTGGGGAAAGAGTTGCCCGGTAGTCACGTGGGCCTCATGGAGCCACTGCGGTGGCTCCAGCTGCTGCTGGGGCTTGCCTCTGCCAAGCCCCCACCCCTCCGTTGGGCCAGGCCTTCTCCTTCCTTCCCTCCTTCCTTTCCTCAATCTCTTTTCCCCAAAAGAAAAAAGACTCTGCCTTCCTGCATGGAAAGGGACTCCATGGCGAGGCTTCTCTTCCCTCACAACAGTTGGTGCTTCATTCTTCTCACACAATGGGGAGAGGGGCTTTCGCGCATGCTCTGTAAGGCATTTTTTTGGGGGGGGGGATTTTAAGTTATTTCCCTTTCATTTTTATGGGTTTTTTTGTTTGAAAGATATAGATCGGATTAGAATGTGTTTTGCTGCCAAATTTGGTGTCAATTCATTGAGTGGTTTTTGAGTTCTGTTAATCCCACAAACGAACATTACATTTTTATTTATATCGATATGCAAACAGCCAAGCTGTCTAATGGACTTGGAGGTAAAAAATAGTGAAGAATTCATAAACAAAGGGAGGCTGGCTTTTGCATATTTAGCAAGGAAGGTAAACATGGATTTCAGGGAAGCTGCAAAAAGGATAATTTAAGGAACATGCCAGGGTAGGTATTATTATAAGGCAGGCTTGGGCCAACCTTGGCCCATGCCTGTTATAGGGTATAAGTATCTCAAGGGTGGGCTCACAGGTGTGGGGAAGCAGGGGCAGTTCTGTGGGTTGTGTTTGTTATTGTCATGGTTGTATTTTGTTTGTTTTTTCGTAACTGTTTGTACTAGTTATAATTGTTATATCATCATCTATATATATAAGAATGTTCTGTGCATAATGAGTACCTTAAAAACAAAAGAACCAATGAACGAAATCACACCAAATTTGGCAACGAAACGTCTCATTACACAAGGAGTGACCATCACTCCAAAAATTATGATTTTTGTCATTTGGGAGTTGTAGTTGCTGAGATTTATAGTTCACCTACAATCAAAAAGCAATCTGAATTCCATCAACGATGGAATGGGACCAAATTTGGCACACGGACTTCCCTTGACCAATAGCAAATACTGGAAGGGTTTGGTGGGCATTGACCTTGAGTTTGGGAGTTGTAGTTCACCTACATCCAGAGAGCACTGTGGACTCAAACAATGATGAATCTGGACCAAACTTGGCACGAATACTCAACACGCCCAAATATGAACACAGATGGAGTTTGGGGGAAATAGACCTTGACATTTGGGAGTTGTAGTCACTGGGATTCACAGTTCACCTACAATCAAATAGCATTCTGAACCCCACGAACGACAGAATTGGGGCAAACTTCCCACACAGAACCTTAATGACCAACAGAAAATACTGAAGGCCATCCAGTCCAACTCCCTTCACCAGGGCAAGAAAACGTAATCAACGCCCTCCTGACAGAGAGCCATCCAGCTATAGATATAGATAGAGAGATATGATTCATACACAGAGAGATATAATATCACAGATTTGAAAGGGAACCCCAAAGACGGACCATGATATATTGCATGTACCAGGGTGGGCAAACCAGACACTCTCCACATCAACACTGACAAAGAAACAGCAAGAAATACTGTTTACCCACAAGCAGATAGACATTACAAAGATTAGAAACCAACACTTTCTCATTACTTTATTTTCCAGATCAACAGACTGGGCCACAGCAACGCGTGGCAGGGGACAGCTAGTTTTTATATATAAATAAAAAAAATAAGGGGGAGGGTTGGAGAGCTTCTAGTGCATTTAACCCCCCCTCTCCCCATTTACCTTTGGACAGGTATAAGCCTTTGCTGCTGGATCTGGTGGAGAACACCCCCCTGGATATTCCGGATGCTGAGCAGCTGAGAGGTGGGCCTTCCATACTCTGAGCGTCTTGAAGGGTTGAGACCAGGTGCTCCCAAAATCTCTAGCATCTAAAGACAAAGGGTGGGTAATGCAGCCCATGTGAAAAAGATCTTGGAGTCTTCGTGGACAACAAGCTGAACATGAGCCAACAATGTGATGCTGCAGCAAAAAAAGCCAATGGGTTTTTTCTGAGGAACTAATCAAATGCACAGTGGAACAACCAGGTTTTTAACCCCTTGTGGAAAGTGGAAAGGGTAGGTGCCAATCCGATCTCTTTGGGTAGTGAGTTCGAGAGCCAAGGGGCCACCACCGAGAAGGCCCTTTCTTGTTCCCACCAGCCACTCTTGAGACGGCGGCGGAAATGAGAGCAGAGCCTCCCCAGATGATCTTAAAGTACGTACTGGTTCATAAGGGAAGATGCGATCTCGAAGATAGGCAGGTCCTGAACTGGGTTGTTGTAGGCACACTCAGACAATCAGCTGCTGACACATCTCTTTCCAGTTAACCCAGTGTTTCTCAACCCTCGGGGGGTCATGAGGGGGTGTCAGAGGGGTCACCAAAGACCATCAGAAAATAGTATTTTATGTGTGGGAAGTTTGGCCTAAATCTCTCGTTGGTGGGTTCAGAATGCTCTTTGATTGTTCGTGAACTATAAATCCCAGCAAATACAACTCTCAAATGTCAAGATCTATTTCCCCCAAACCCCACCATTTTTCACATTTGAGCATATTGAGTATCCGTGCCAAGTTTGGTCCAGATCAATCATTGTTTGAGTCCACAGTGCTCTCTGGATGTAGGTGAACTAAAACTCCCAAACTAAAGGTCAATGCCCACCAAACCCTTCGAGTATTTTCTGTTGGTCATGGGAGTTCTGTGTGCCGAGTTTGGTTCCTTTCCATCGTTGGTGGAGTTCAGAATGTTCTTTGATTGTAGGTGAACTATAAATCCCAGAAACTATAACTCCCAAATTACAAAATCAACCCCCCCCCCCAAAAAAACCCACCAGTATTCAAATTTGGGCGTATTGGGTATTTGTGCCAAATTGGGTCTAGTGAATACATCATGCATATCAGATATTTACATGATGATTCATAACAGTAACAAAATTACAGCTGTGAAGTAGCGACAAAAATAATGTTATGTTTGGGGGTCACCACAACATGAGGAACTGTATTCAGGGGTCGTGGCATTACGAAGGTTGAGAACCACTGAGTTAACCCACCATATCATGGCGTCCTTTTTCAAATCATCACACCACCCTGCTCTCTTTGCAGCTGCGCTCAAGTCCGTGGGTGAGGCTCTTCACCAGATCCAGGAGATTGATCGCTTCCACGAAAACGTGGACCACCTGAGTCGGATCCAGAAGCTGCTCAAAGGGCGGAAGACGCAGGTGATGCAACCAGGTAGGAGAGAGTGAGCGAGAGAAAGAAAGAAAGAGGGGTCCCAGGCCCAAAGTTGGAGGATAATTTCCAAAAAGCTTTCATTATTGGTAAAGCAGCAACAGTAGCAGCAGTTTAGCAGAGCAGAAGCTTCTAGTGCCAGCAGTAGAGCAACTGAGCTTCAGCTATTACAGGGGCAGAGTCAAGCTTTACTTATTTATTTATTTGTTTACAGTATTTATATTCCGCCCTTCTCACCCTGCAAGGGACTCAGGGCAGATCACAATGCACATATACATGGCAAACATTCAATGCCATAGACATACAACATATATAGACAGACACACCGAGGCTATTTAACGTTCCAGCTTCTTCATGAGGGTATGCTTCGAATTACGGCCACTTTTGTCCTTGTGGGTGTCATGGGGGCCTGTCCCTTAACATGTTTTGTTGACCCCGAGACCCTCTTTCTTGTAGGGCGCTGGTTCTTGCTGGAGGGCTGGCTGATGGTGGCACCCCCTAAAGGAGAGGGGCTGCGGCCTCGGATGTTCTTCCTCTTCTCGGACGTCCTGCTGATGGCCAAGCCTTGCCACCCGCTTCACCCCTGGAATGCGCACAAGGTGGCTGTCAAGGAGGTCTTCTGGCTCCATCCGCAGTGCTCAGTCGCCAAGGTCTTCGGCCACACCCGGGGCCACGGGGGGCTCCTCAGCGTAAGTCTATGGAGGGTATTATAAGCACAGACTGGGGTGGCCATTGTTAATGGGATTGGGTTGTGTCTTCCTGCTCTTTCGAAATTGGGGTGATGGGATAGCTCTTGAGGTCGTTGGAATTCCAAAATGCACTGGCATATTTGGAAGGTAAAATACTTGGGTATAATGGTGAGTTACAGTAAGGAAATGTCAAGTGTTGAGTCTCAGTGACGAGGCATGTGGATGGTGGAACCACAGATGCAGGGTTGCATCATAGGTAAGGATGATGAAGCCATGAATGCAACATTTCATCATAGGTAAGGATGATGAAACCACAAATGTAGGGTTGAATCATATGTGTGAATATTAGCAGCCTGCTATTCAAATGATGATGGATGGCTGGTTATTGTATGTTGGAGGATGCTGTCAGTGGCATCTCCGCACAGCAAGGCAAGGAAACACATCAATCAGTCTCCTTTAGGCTATAAACTAATTTATTGTACAACTATTTACATTAGAAGCTAAGCACATCGTAAAACTGCTTCCTCTCCAACTGGCAGCTACATCGCAAACACAGCACACGCTGTTATCAGCATTAGTCCACACCTCCTGCATTCCAGAATGATGTATGATGTACGACGCACTATGCTGCGTCCATTGTTCCCTGCATTATGATTTATGACCTCTCTAGAAATGCCAATTTTCTTCATGGTTCAGTTAACTCTTTCCACACAGGAATTACACTCGGCACATAGCATTGCATTCTAAACATACAAACACATTTTGAAATCTACATTATACATTTCAAAACACATCAACAGATGCTTGGAGAGAGTTGTATATATATTGGTGTTGTCATATCTTTATTGCTGCAACAAAGAGGAAGATAAAGCTTTCATTGAGGAACAAATCTGCTTCTGTTTCCTGGAAGTATCTCCCACACAAGAGAGTGCTTAGAATTTGTGTTGTCAAAGGCTTTCATGGCCAGAATGACTGGGTTGCTGTGAGTTTTCCGGGATGTCTGGCCATGGTCCACAAGCATTCTCTCCTGACATTTTGCCCACATTTATGGCAGGCATCCTCAGAGGTTGTGGGGTCTGTTAGACTTACCTAGTTTCTAATAGACCTCACAACCTCTGAAGATGTCTGCCATAGATGTGGGCGAAACGTCAGGAGAGAATGCTTCTGGAAGGTGGCCAGACTGTTGCATCCTAGAACAGAACCCTCTAATCATTAATTACACCACACCTTGAATGAAGGAAGAGTCCTTTTTATTTGAAGAATAACTGGAGCCAATAAAAGAGATGGATATAAAATAAGTCCAAAAGCAAAAAGCCAAATAAAACAGCAACATAAGCAATGTCCAAACATAGGAATAATAACACTGTCCCAAAACTTGCAGAAATAATCCAAATGCAGTGAATGACCTTCAAAACAAAACCATGAACAGACTAGTCACTGCTAATCCACTTGAAAAGCCACGAATCCTTAGAGACGAGGCCACATGACACAGGAATATCCAGGAGACTTGAGCTTGATTCCAAATGATGCCTGATCTAAAGAAAATTCTCTAAGAGCTCAATTTAAATCCCAAAAACTGGTTCCTACTCCCCCCAGTTTTTGGCCTTAACTGCCAAATTCTTTCTGACCTGTGTAAACATTGGGCCTCTTGATGGTTCTGGCTGATTTCCAGACGGCAACTGGTCTTATCTATCTCCTCATTAACTGCAGCAGGTGTGAAACTATCTTGCAAACTCGAGCCTGGAGAAGGGAGTAAACTTTCTTCCCTGGCTGTGACAGGAAATTTCTCATGAGAACTTAGCCTTTCCCCGACCCTTCTCAATCAGAGTTTGCAGTAACCTTATTGTCCAAAATGTCTCAATTTTGCACCTCATCCTCATTGATCACATCAGGCTCACTACCCAAGTCAGACCCAGAAACATTAGAAGGGAGAAACACAATCACAGATTCAGGCTCAAACACAGGCTGAGTCCCAACACTCAAAGCAAACAATGCACAAGTATCTATAATGACATAGAACAGAAATATATGTATGTAAATCTAAATAGACTCTCAAGACAGTAATATACAGCAGTATTCTGTGTTCTCTATTAGTATAACTTGTCTGAGAATTTATACATAAATACATAGAGTAGCGTGTTTCTTTACTGTTATTACTAAATGTTTTTCTAGCAATGTTATTTTGGGAGTTTCATGTATCTATTGTGTATGTTATTTCTACTCCCTATTTAGTGCACTAAGCATAATATTATAACAGACTACACCCTGAGGAAGATATTTGTTCGAAACAAGGATAACAAACCGGAAGACCTTGTTGATTTTGTTGCCTATGAAAGATTGTGTTACCTAAGAAGAATTCCTTGAGACTGAGATTTTGTTGCCTAAGAAAGACTGTGTTGCTTAAAGAAGAATTCCTTGAGACTGTCTTGCCAAAAGAAGAATTCTTTTGAAGATAAAGATAGAGACCTTTTAATTCCTTCACTGAAAGGATGGACTTTATTATCTTTAGTCTGTTGTTTATTTCTCTATAATAATGTGCTGATAACAATTTTGTTTTATGTATAAATTCTCAGACAAGTTATACTAATAGAGAACACAGAATACTGCTGTATATTACTGTCTTGAGAGTCTATTTAGATTTACATACATATATTTCTGTTCTATGAGTCCCAACACTGACAGCCTGGAAAACTCACTGCAACCCTGCTTAGAATGTGTTTGGAGGCTGAGTAGAGTAGGTTGAGGGCTCATCATCAGAGTCAGAAACCCTGCCAGGGCTCTCTTCTAAGTGAGCTTCTATGAAGCACGTTCTTGGGTAGGCTGCCGATGCCATTCCCCAGGGCTTACTGTCCAACCCTCCTTCTCCACATCATCCCTGTTCTCCCTTTTCCAGCTGTCCTTCCCGCACAAGACGTTGCTGCTGGTGTGCTATGACCAAGAGGACTTGGACACGTGGCATCGGAATCTCACGGCTGCTATCAGGTAGGCAACCCCCACCCCCTTAAGAGAATAGAAGAGAGTAACTTTATTGTCATGGTACTATTGCACAAAGACATGAAATGCCTTCCCTAGCACACACCACAGAACAACACACCCATCCCTCCACACTCCCACCACCACAGCACAGCCCCCAAGGCCACATCAATGTGAAACCATGGAGTTCAATATAGTCCCAGCTCTAGGATAAAAGTTGTCTCTTGGTCTGTTTGTCCTTGCCTTTGTCACCATGTAGTGTATGCAAGATTATTACCCTGTACCTTTGTCACCCTGTACTGTATGGCTTCAAACTACAAGAGAGGAGATTCCATCTGAACATGAGGAAGAACTTCCTGACTGTGAGAGCCGTTCAGTAGTGGAACTCTCTGCCCTGGAGTGTGGTGGAGGCTCCTTCTTTGGAAGCTTTTAAACAGAGTCTGGATGGCCATCTGTCAGGGGTGCTTTGAATGCAATATTCCTGCTTCTTGGCAGAATGGGGTTGGACTGGATGGCCCAGGAGGTCTCTTCCAACTCTTTGATTCTATGATTTCATATCAAAAGCATTGTATAAATTAGAATAAAATTGATAAAAATAGAAAGAGCGCAGGCGACTAAATATCTTTTGACCAAAAATGGGCAACAGCAACAGCATTATAATAATAATAAAACATTTATTTATTTATTTACTTACTTACTTAAGGTAAAGGTAGTCCTCTGACATTAAGTCCAGTCATGTCTGACTCTGGGGTGTGGTGCTCATCTCCATTTCTAAGCCGAAGAGCCAGCGTTGTCTGTAGACACCTCCAAGGTCATGTGGTCGGCATGACTGCATGGAGCGCCGTTACCTTCCCACCGGAGTGGTACCTATTGATCTACTCACATTTGCATGTTTTCGAACTGCTAGGTTGGCAGAAGCTAGGGCTGACAGCGGAAGCTCATGCCGCTCCCCGGAATCGAACCTGCGACCTTTCGATCAACAAGCTCAACAGCTCAGTGCTTTAACCCACTGCGCCACCGGGGTTACAGTATTGATATTCTGCCCTTCTCACTCCGTAGGGGACTAGGGCGGATTACAATGTACACATATATGGCAAACATTCAATGCCAAAGACACACAACACATATAGACAGACAGTCAGAGGCTATTTAACTTTTTCTGGCTGCCAGGGGAGCTGTCACTTTTATCGTCCATCTGCGACACTGATGAAGTACTTCCGCATTCCCCGCATGCTTTGCTGGAGATTTTTATGGCCGCATACATTAGCTAAATTAGCCTCCTCACATATAAGTGGTACCTAATTTTCCTACTTGACAGATGCAACTGTCTTTCGGGTTGCAAACGTCAACAACAAGCTACACAATTGGTCGGAAGCTCACTCCGACCCAGGCTGGCTTCGAACTCATGATCTTTTTGGTCAGAAGTGATCTTAATGCAGCTGACACTCAGACAGCTGCGCCACAGTCCTGGTACTTTATTTATATACTGCTCTATCCCCCCAGGGAGACTCAGAGCAGTTTCCAAGTAACATCATCACTACATACAGAGTAAACAACATAACCATAAGATTAACAAAATAATATAAGCATAAAATTGGCAATGGCTCCCAAAGTGACCCATTTAAGGTGGAATCGGGTGTCAAACAGGGATGTGTTATTGCCCCAACTCTATTCTCCATCTTCATCGCTATGAGACTTCACCCTGTTGATGGGAAGCTTCCCACCGGAGTGGAAATCATCTCTCAGACAGATGGCAAGCTGTTTAACCTCAGCAGACTGAAAGCCAAAACCAAGGTTACAACAACATCTGTTATAGAACTCCAGTATGCTGATGACAATGTCGTCTGTGCGCATTCAGAAGAAGATCTACAAGCCACTCTAAACACCTTCGCAGAAGCATACGAGAAGCTCGGCCTGTCACTGAACATTGAGAAAACCAAGGTGCTTTTCCAGCAGGCACCAGCCAACCCCTCTCCAATGCCAGAGATACAGCTTAATGGTGTAACATTAGAAAATGTGGACCATTTGCGCTCCCTTGGCAGCCACCTCTCCACCAAAGTCAACATCGACGCCGAAATACAACACCGCCTGAGCTCTGCAAGCGCAGCATTTTCCCGAATGAAGCAGAAAGTGTTTGAGGACCGGGACATCCGTACGGATACCAAGGTGCTTGTCTATAAAGCTATTGTCCCCCCAACCCTGCTCTATGCCTGTGAAACGTGGACTGTCTACAGACGTCACATGAAACTCCTGGAACTATTCCATCAGCGCTGCCTCCGGAAAATCCTGCAAATCTCTTGGGAAGACAAGTGGACAAACGTCAGCGTGCTGGAAGAAGCAAAGACCACCAGCATCGAAGCGATGGTCCTCCAACATCAACTCCGCTGGGCCGGCCACGATGTCCAGATGCCTGACCACCGTCTCCCAAACCAGTTGCTCTACTCTGAACTCAAGAATGGAAAACGGAACATTGGTGGGCAGGAAAAGAGATTTAAAGATGGCCTCAAAGCCAACCTTAAAAACTCTGGCATAGACACTGAGAACTGGGAAGCCCTGGCCCTTGAGCGCTCCAGCTGGAGGTCAGCTGTGACCAGCAGTGCTGCAGAATTCGAGGAGGCACGAGTGGAGGGTGAAAGAGAGAAACGTGCCAAGAGGAAGGCGCGTCCGAGTCTGCCTTCCCCGACCGAGACTGACCGAGACCGCCTTCCAACTGGAAACCAATGCCTTCACTGTGGGAGAAGGTGCGGGTCAAGAATAGGGCTCCACAGCCACCTACGAATCCACAAGGAAACCCATCATGGAAGACCATCTTACTCATCCAACAAGGGATCGCTTAAGTAAGTAAGTTAGTAAACTGAGTTTTCTTTTGTAACGTAAGCTTCCAGAGTCCTTATGTGACAAAGCAGTGTCTGTCAGATCTAGCATTCCTTCCATCAAGCTGCGCCTCAGCTTGACAGAAATGACATGGATAAGACAGGAACAAACATAGCGGTGCATAGTGTAATCCAGTTCTTCCTCTGACTCCTCTCTTCACTGGCAGGAAGCTGCAGCCCAGCATCACACGAGGCCACTGAACTGGATGCGGAGAGACCCACAGGGAGACCTTGCGTGAACCACCCATGCTACTTTGGTCTATGTGGATATCGGACTGTGACAGCCAAGCCAAGGCCATCCCTTGGCCTCCTGACTCTCATGAAGAACATGAGGGACATCCACCATGTCTTTGCTGCCTATCTGCTGAATCCAGACTCACACCAAGGGTCAAAATCTGGTCCTTGCTTATCCATCGGCACATGCAACTGGGGGACCCACCTGTGAACTTGGTCTGCTCGACGTCGTTCCTCTCAGCCCTTGTTCTGTGGCTTCCTTGGCTGTGTCTATCTATCCCAGGCCGGGGCCAACTTCGGTCCTCCCTCCAGGTGTTTTGGACTTCAACTCCCACAATTCCTAACAGCCGGTAGCCTGTTAGGAATTGTGGGAGTTGAAGTCCAAAACACCTGGAGGGAGGGCCGAAGTTGGCCCAGGCCTGTTCTAAAGCCAACTTTGTCCACATCATCTTGACTCTTTAAGGACCCTTCTAGACCACTCTTTATATAGTTGGTCTTCCCCTTTCCAAAATCATAGAATCATAGATAGAATCATAGAATCAAAGAGTTGGAAGAGACCTCATGGGCCATCCAGTCCAACCCCATTCTGCCAAGAAGCAGGAATATTGCATTCAAATCACCCCTGACAGATGGCCATCCAGCCTCTGCTTAAAAGCTTCCAAAGAAGGAGCCTCCACCACACTCCGAGGCAGAGAGTTCCACTGCTGAACGGCTCTCACAGTCAGGAAGTTCTTCCTAATGTTCAGATGGAATCTCCTCTCTTGTAGTTTGAAGCCATTGTTCCGCGTCCTAGTCTCCAAGGAAGCAGAGAACAAGCTTGCTCCCTCCTCCTCCCTGTGGCTTCCTCTCACATATTTATACATGGCTATCATATCTCCTCTCAGCCTTCTCTTCTTCAGGCTAAACATGCCCAGTCCAGCCGCTCCTCATAGGGCTTGTTCTCCAGACCCTTGATCATTTTAGTCGCCCTCCTCTGGACACATTCCAGCTTGTCAATATCTCTCTTGAATTGTGGTGCCCGAATTGGACACAATATTCCAGGTGTGGTCTAACCAAAGCAGAATAGAGGGGTAGCATTACTTCCCTAGATCTAGACACTATGCTCCTCTTGATGCAGGCCAAAATCCCATTGGCTTTTTTTGCCGCCACATCACATTGTTGGCTCATGTTCCCCTTCCTCCCCACGAGGACTCCAAGATCTTTTTCACACGTACTGCTCTCGAGCCAGGCGTCCCCCATTCTGTATCTTTGCATTTCATTTTTTCTGCCAAAGTGGAGTATCTTGCATTTGTCACTGTTGAACTTCATTTTGTTAGTTTTGGCCCATCTCTCTAATCTGTCAAGATCATTTTGAATTCTGCTCCTGTCCTCTGGAGTCTTGGCTCTCCCTCCCAATTTGGTGTCGTCTGCAAACTTGATGATCATGCCTTCTAGCCCTTCATCTAAGTCATTAATAAAGATGTTGAACAGGACCGGGCCCAGGACGGAACCCTGAGGCACTCCACTTGTCACTTCTTTCCAAGATGAAGAGGAAGCATTAGTGAGCACTCTCTGTGTTCGTCCACTTAACCAATTACAGATCCACCTCACCGTAGTTTTGCCTAGCCCACATTGGACTAGTTTCCTTGCCAGAAGGTCATGGGGGACCTTGTCGAAGGCCTTCCTGAAATCCAGGTACGCTTCAACCACAGTGCAAACAACATTTGGTCGTATGCTACCATGACGTGGTTGAAATGTGACAGCTTCAAATCTGGGTTGTTATGGCTTCTGGGAAGGTTTTGTGCTTGATATGGTTTATGTTTATGTTCCTTGCAGAGCCAAGCCAAAGGGTACGGGGCAAGTGGCTATTTGTCCGGCAGCAGAATGGGATCAAAGGCTCTTAGGGTTCATACACAACACATTCCACATTCCTACCATTTGCAGTATTGTTGTTTTGAAGTCAATTCTTTCCTAAGGAAGGAGGGAATAAGGTCTCGTTCCAAACTGTCTTTACCTTTAGGAACAGAAGTGCTTCCAATACAAGTCGAGTGTGATGGAGACCAACGACTCCTGCTTGCCATGGTAATGACTAAGATAGGTTTGGTTTTCAGATGTATACATCTTTTATTTCTTTTCTAAATCCAAACTAGTTGAAAACTCTTGTAACCAGGACTTGCTTTGTAATCTATATCAATAAAAATGTAATGTTTGTTTGTGGGATTAGCATAACTCAAAAGCCACTGGACAAATTGACACCAAATTTGGACACAAGACACCTAACAACCCAATGTATGTCCTTCACTCAAGAAATTGATTTTGTCATTAGGGAGTTGTAGTTGCTGGGATTTATAGTTCACCAACAATCAAAAAACATCCAGAACTCCACCAATGATTGAATTGAACCAAACTTGGCACACAGGACTCCCATGACAAACAGAAAACACTACAAGGGTTTGGTGGGCATTGACCTTGAGTTTGGGAGTTGTAGTTCACCTACATCCAGAGAGCACTGTGGACTCAAACAATGATGGATCTGGACCAAACTTGGCATAAATGTTCCATAAGCCCAAATATGGACACAGATGGAGTTTGGGGGATATTGACATTTGGGAGTTGTAGTTACTGGGATTTATAGTTCACCTACAATCAAAGAGCATTCTGAACCCTACAAACGACAGAAATGGGGCAAACTTCACACACAGAAACCCTATACTTAAGTCCATCTAGTCCAACTTCCTTCTTCACCAGGGCAAGAAAACGTAATCAGAGCCCTCCTGACAAAGAGCCATCCAGTCATAAATATAGATAGATAGCTATGATTCTCACACACAAAGATATAGAATCACAGATTTGAAAGAGACCCTTAAAGAAGGACAATGATAAGTTGCATGTTCCAGAGTGGGCAAACCAGACACTCTCCACATCAACACGGACAAAGACACGACAAGAAATACTGTTTACTCACAAGCAGAAAGGAATTACATAGATTACAAACCAACACTTTCTCATTACTTTATTTTCCAGATCACCAGACTGGGCCACAGCAACGCGTGGCAGGGGACAGCTAGTCTATATAAATAAAAATGTAATGTTCGTTTGTGGTAGTCACAGAACCCAAAAACCCCTGGATGAATTGGCACCAAATTTGGACACGATACTCCTAACAACCCAATGTATGTTCTCCACTAAAAAAACCCACGAAAACAAAAAGCAGAAAGGACTTCTGAACTACATGTCCACAAAGGGGAAACTGCATGTCTACAGAGACCCATGGCCACGTCCCCTCCTCCTCCTCGTGAGGAAACTGCCGGCCGTTAAAGCCAGGCGCACGTGCATGGCCACACACACACACACACACACACACACAAGCGAGTGGAGTGGAGGTGGAGGCGCGCTGCATTCAGCCCCTTCTCTTTCCCTCCTATGTCAGGAGAGCAGTCTCCTCCTCCTCCTTTCCCTATTGGGAAAGCAGCAGCAACGGAGCATCCATGCAAGGAAGAAGGGGAGGAGGATGAAAGTCCATGGTGCTTGAATGAAGGACCTTCCTTCTCTCCCTCCCTTCCCTTCTTTCCTCCCTTTCCTTCCTTCCTTTCTTTTTTTTCTTTTCTTTTTTTTTTTTCTTTTTCTTTCTTTTTTTTTTTTTTTTTTTTTTTTGTTTTTTTCTTTCTTTTTTTTTTTTTTTTTTTTCTTTTGCTTTTTTTTTTTTTTTTCTTTCTTTCCTTTTTCTTACTTTCTTCTTTTTGTGTCAAAGAATACAAAAAAAACACAAGAATCCTTTTCTTCCTTCCTTCTCCTTCCTTCCTTCCTTTCTTTCCCTCCTTCCCTTCCTTCCTGTCCCTCCTTCCTTTCCTTCTTTTCCTCCCTCCCTCCCTTTCCTCCTTCTCTCCCTTGCTTCATTTCCTTATCTCGCTCCTTTCTTCATCCCCCTCCTTTCTTTCTTTCCCTCCTTCCTCCTTCCTTTCTTCTCCTCCCTCCCTCCCTGTCCCTCCTTTTTTCCCTTCCTTTCCTTCTTTCCCTCCCTCCCTCCCTTTTTTCTTCCTTCCTGTCCCCCCTTCCTTCTTTTCCTCCCTCCCTCTCCTTCTTTCCCTTTCTTCATTTCCTCCCCCTTCATTTCTTTCCCTCCCTCCTTTCTTCCTCCTTCCTTCCTTCTCCTCCCTCCCTGTCCCTCCTCCTTTTTTCCTGCCTTCCCTTCTTTCCCTCACTCCCTTTTTCATTCCTTCCTGTCCCTCCTTCCTTTCCTTCTTTTCCTTCCTCCCTCCCTCCCTTTCCTCCTTCTCTCCATTGCTTCATTTCCTTCCTCCCTCCTTTCTTCATCCCCCTCCTTTCTTTCTTTCCCTCCTTCCTTCCTTCCTCCTTCCTTTCTTCCTCCCTCCCTCCCTGTCCCTCCTTTTTTTCCTTCCTTTCCTTCTTTCCCTCCCTCCCTCCCTTTCCTTCCTTCCTTCCTGTCCCTCCTTCCTTCTTCCTTTCCTTCTTTTCCTCCCTCCCTTTCCTTCTTTCCCTTTCTTCATTTCCTCCCCCTTCATTTCTTTCCCTCCCTCCTTTCTTCATCCCCCTCCTTTCTTTCCCTCCTTCCTTCCTCCTTCCTTCCTTCTCCTCCCTCCCTGTCCCTCCTCCTTTTTTCCTGCCTTCCCTTCTTTCCCTCCCTCCCTTTTTCATTCCTTCCTGTCCCTTCTTCCTTTCCTTCTTTTCCTTCCTCCTTCCCTCCCTTTCCTCCTCCTTTCCCTTTCTTCATTTCCTTCCCCTTCATTTCCTTCCCTCCCTCCTTTCTTCACCCCTCCTTTCTTTCCCTCCTTCCTTCGTCCTCCCTCCCTCCCTCCCTTTTTTCTTCCTTCCTGTCCCTCCTTCCTTCTTCCTTTCCTTCTTTTCCTCCCTCCCTCTCCTTCTTTCCCTTTCTTCATTTCCTCCCCCTTCATTTCTTTCCCTCCCTCCTTTCTTCATCCCCCTCCTTTCTTTCCCTCCTTCCTTCCTCCTTCCTTCCTTCTCCTCCCTCCCTGTCCCTCCTCCTTTTTTCCTGCCTTCCCTTCTTTCCCTCCCTCCCTTTTTCATTCCTTCCTGTCCCTTCTTCCTTTCCTTCTTTTCCTTCCTCCTTCCCTCCCTTTCCTCCTCCTTTCCCTTTCTTCATTTCCTTCCCCTTCATTTCCTTCCCTCCCTCCTTTCTTCACCCCTCCTTTCTTTCCCTCCTTCCTTCGTCCTCCCTCCCTCCCTCCCTTTTTTCTTCCTTCCTGTCCCTCCTTCCTTCTTCCTTTCCTTCTTTTCCTCCCTCCCTCTCCTTCTTTCCCTTTCTTCATTTCCTCCCCCTTCATTTCTTTCCCTCCCTCCTTTCTTCATCCCCCTCCTTTCTTTCCCTCCTTCCTTCCTCCTTCCTTCCTTCTCCTCCCTCCCTGTCCCTCCTCCTTTTTTCCTGCCTTCCCTTCTTTCCCTCCCTCCCTTTTTCATTCCTTCCTGTCCCTTCTTCCTTTCCTTCTTTTCCTTCCTCCTTCCCTCCCTTTCCTCCTCCTTTCCCTTTCTTCATTTCCTTCCCCTTCATTTCCTTCCCTCCCTCCTTTCTTCACCCCTCCTTTCTTTCCCTCCTTCCTTCGTCCTCCCTCCCTCCCTCCCTTTTTTCTTCCTTCCTGTCCCTCCTTCCTTCTTCCTTTCCTTCTTTTCCTCCCTCCCTCTCCTTCTTTCCCTTTCTTCATTTCCTCCCCCTTCATTTCTTTCCCTCCCTCCTTTCTTCATCCCCCTCCTTTCTTTCCCTCCTTCCTTCCTCCTTCCTTCCTTCTCCTCCCTCCCTGTCCCTCCTCCTTTTTTCCTGCCTTCCCTTCTTTCCCTCCCTCCCTTTTTCATTCCTTCCTGTCCCTTCTTCCTTTCCTTCTTTTCCTTCCTCCTTCCCTCCCTTTCCTCCTCCTTTCCCTTTCTTCATTTCCTTCCCCTTCATTTCCTTCCCTCCCTCCTTTCTTCCCCTCCTTCCTTTCCCTCCCTCCCTCCCTCCCTCCCTTCCTGTCCCTCCTTCTTTCTTTTCCTTCCTTCCTGTCCCTCCTTCCTTCTTCCTTTCCTTCTTTCTAAGATATAAATACAATATTAAATGGAAGGGACAGTCAAGAAGTAATGAGAGAAGGAGGGAAAAAGGGAAGGAAGGAAGGAGAGAAGCAGGGAGGGAAAGAAGGAAAGAAAAGATAAACAAGAAAGGAGAGAAGGAAATAAAAAAGTGGAAGGAAAAAGAGAGGGAAGGAAGGAAGGATGTAACCAAAGAGCAAAGAAAGGGAGGAAAGAAACAGGTAGAGATGGAAGAAAGATGAGAGATAAGGAAAGAAAAAGAGGAAAGGAAGGAAAGAGGGAGAGAAAGAGGGAGGGAAGGTTGGCCACAGCAACGCGTGGCGGGTACAGCTAGTCTATATAAATAAAAATGTAATGTTCGTTTGTGGGATTAACAGAACTCAAAAACCACTGGACGAATTGACACCAAATTTGGACACAAGACACCTAACAACCCAATGTATGTCCTTCACTCAAAAAATTGATTTTGTCATTTGGGAGTTGTAGTTGCTGGGATTTATAGTTCACCTACAATCAAAGAGCATTCTGAACTCCAACAATTATGGCATTGAACCAAACTTGTCACACAGGACTTCCATGACCAATAGAAAACACTAGAAGGGTTTGGTGGGCATTGACCTTGAGTTTGGGAGTTGTAGTTCACCTACATACCCTAATCTATACTATGGAGCCCCCAGTGGCGCAGTGGGTTAAACCCCTGTGCCGGCAGGACTGAAGACTGACAGGTTGCAGGTTCGAATCCGGGGAGAGGCGGATGAGCTCCCTCTATCAGCTCCAGCTCCTCATGCGGGGACATGAGGGAAGCCTACCACAAGGATGATAAAAACATCAATTCATCCGGGTGTCCCCTGGGCAACGTCCTTGCAGACGCCCAATTCTCTCACACCAGGAGTCACTCCTGACACGACAAAAAACAAAACAAAACTGTGGATTCAAACAGTGATGGATCTGGACCAAAATTGGCACAAATATTCCATAGCAGGGAGTGCTAGCATGCAGCCCCCAAGTTGAAAAGTTTGCCCATGCCTGGTGCAGATGCACTCATGACAAGAAGGTAAGTTTGAAACCACATTCTCCTTATTGCAAGAGAAGTCCACTTGGGAGTCACAACTCTTTCCTGCAATTCTAGCATCGCAATCTCTGCACCAAAAGTGTTTCTGTGGAACCCACAATTCAAGAAGATATTGACAAGCTGGAATGTGTCCAGAGGAGGGTTTCATGGCCGGAATCACTGGGTTGTTGTAGGTTTTTCCGGGCTATATGGCCATGTTCTGGAGGCAATTGTTCTCCTGACGTTTTGCCTGCATCTATGGCAAGCATCCTCAGAGGTAATGAGGTCTGTTGGAAGTAGGAAAAGTGGGTTTATATATCTGTGGAAAGACCAGGGTGGGACAAAGGACTTTTGTCTGCTGGGGCTAGCTGTGAATGTTTCAGCTGATCACCTTGATTAGCATTCAATGGCTTGGAAGTGCCTGGGGGGAATCTTTTGTTGAGAGTGATTTTATGTGCCTGTTTGTTTCCCCTCTGTTGTTTTGCTGTTGTAATTTGTTGTAATCTGGCTACCAGTATTAAAAAACTCAAAAATTACAACAGCAAAACAACAGGGGGGAAACAAACAGGCACATAAAATCACTGGACAGTTTGTGGACTCAAACAATGATGGATGTGGACCAAAATTGGCACGAATATTCCATAGCAGGGAGTGCTAGCATGCGGCCCCCAAGTTGGAAAGTTTGCCCACGCGTGGTGCAGATGCACTCATGCCAAGAAGGCAAGACTGAAACCACGTTCTCCTTATTGCAAGAGAAGTCCACTTGGGAGTCACAACTCTTTCCTGCAGTTCTAGCATCGCAATCTCTGCACCAAAAGTGTTTCTGTGGAACCCACAATTCAAGAAGATATTGACAAGCTGGAATGTGTCCAGAGGAGGGCGACTAAAATGATCAAGGGTCTGGAGAAAAAGCCCTATGAGGAGCGGCTTAAAGAGCTGGGCATGTTTATTCAAGAGAGATATTGACAAGCTGGAATGTGTCCAGAGGAAGCCGACTAAAATGATCAAGGGTCTGGAGAACAAGCCCTATGAGGAGCGGCTTAAGGAGCTGGGCATGTTTAGCCTGAAGAAGAGAAGGCTGAGAGGAGATACGATAGCCATGTATAAATATGTGAGAGGAAGCCACAGGGAGGAGGAGGGAGCAAGCTTGTTTTCTTCTTCCTTGGAGACTAGGATGCAATGGAACAATGGCTTCAAACTACAAGAGAGGAGATTCCACCTGAACATGAGGAAGAACTTCCTGACTGTGAGAGCCGTTCAGCAGTGGAACTCTCTGCCCTGAGTGTGGTGGAGGCTCCTTCTTTGGAAGCTTTTAAACAGGGCTGGATGGCCATCTGTCAGGGGTGATTTGAATGCAATATTCCTGCTTCTTGGCAGAATGGGGTTGGACTGGATGGCCCAGGAGGTCTCTTCCAACTCTTTGATTCTATGATTCTAAGGAAAACAGTGTAGGTTTCTGAATCCCAGGGAAAGGCAGACTTGGGACACCTGAGATCCCGTTCAGTTCCTCCTCCTCCAGGTATTTTTTACACCAAGCACCTTGTTTGCAGCACAAGGTCTCTCCTGATCCCGGCGCCCAGCGGAGACCAGCTTTGCCAGCCGAAACCGGACAGCAGGGCACGCGGCCAAATGCCGGCCTTGGAAAGCTTTGTGCCAAAACACATGCTTTGCTCTCAACAGGAACACGGGGAAGACTGTCATGAGACCAGCTGCAGCTACGTGTGGGCTGGACTTCGGGGAAAGCTGACCTAGGTGCCTTTGTGTGTCTTTCTTGTGTTTCTGGGTAACCAAATGCCTGTTTAGAAAACAGAAGAGGTGTTGCTGTTTCAGGTATTAATGGGCAGGGCGGGTAGAGCGGGACAATGGAGGAAAATGAATGGGGAGAGACATTTGGGTTTACTAAGCCTGTCATAAAGGGCTGCTGCTTAATGCCAGGCCCATGACTAAGGGGGAAAGCATGGTCCGGGAAGGACAAGCTGACCTCGTGTGTAGAAATGAAGCCTAGAGTCACAACACCATGCAACAAAAGTTGAAACATTTTCTGTCCCTGGTTTGAAAGTGTTATTTCCTGTTTAATTGTGCGGTCCTGACTTTGAAAGTAGAGGTCTCTTCCAACTCTAGGATTCTATAATACAGGGGTCGGGAACCTTTGGCCCTCCAGCTGTGGTGGACTTCAACTCCCACAATTCCTTGAGGCTCGGCATTCGCCCCAAAGGCTTACCTTGGCCCAACGAGGTTTGTTTGGCTCTTTTTCATGGAGGACGGGCAGCAAAGGGGGAGAGACGAGCGTAACGTAGCTGTGCAGATGGCGAGGAAGGATGCGGAGCCCACAGACTGGCCTCGGAGGGAGAGAGCGGGCGGAAACCCCTGCGGGCAACGCGCCTCCTCGCCGCTTAAACAGCGCAGAGCCCTTTCCCTCCAGCCTTCGCCTTCCCTTTTCCCCGACAAGCTCTGCACGACGTCACTCAGCCGGCGTCGTTGCTAGGGAGGGGGTCCATGCGGGGCGGGTGCTAAGGGCCGAAGCGGCGAGGAAGCGCGTTGCCCGCAGGGGTTTCCGCCCGCTCTCTCCCTCCGAGGCCAGTCTGTGGGCTCCGCATCCTTCCTCGCCATCTGCACAGCTACGTTACGCTCGTCTCTCCCCCTTTGCTGCCCGTCCTCCATGAAAAAGAGCCAAACAAACCTCGTTGGGCCAAGGTAAGCCTTTGGGGCGAATGCCGAGCCTCAAGGAATTGTGGGAGTTGAAGTCCACCACAGCTGGAGGGCCAAAGGTTCCCGACCCCTGCTATAATACTAATTCCTAACAGCCTCCTGGAGGGCCAAAGTTTGCTCATGCCTGCTGAAGAGTCTGTAATGCTCTTTGGTATACTCGGTAGCATTTGGAACAAAATAAAAGAACCTTTTTAATGCTTTTTTAAGTTTTACAAAGTATTAATGACACAAGGGAGTCCCCTTCCTCTTCCTGGAGGTACAACACAGCAGATGCAGAGAGACTCTACAGTCCATATTTATTAGCAAACCGATTGTGTCAACACACGCTCACTTCCTGCAAGATAGACAAGACCTCCTGCTGCATCCTGGACCCCTTCCTGGTCTTTCTTGACCGCCCTGGAGGGAGGGCGCTTCCGGCTGGAGAGGGGGAGGGCCTCGGGCTCAGTCTCTGGCTGCCTAGACGGGGCTGCCCTGGGCCTCGTCCGCTTTGGCTTTCTGGGCCAGGCGCTGGTCCCGCCAGAAGCCCTGCAGGAGCTGGTTGAGCAGGGTCTTGTTGCTGTCCCTCTTGGGGATGGGTAGCGGGGGCAGCGGGTTCCCCTTGTACTCAATGACCGCCATGGGGGCCCGGTCCAGGTTCTCCCGGTTGGGGATGCGGACCAGGCGGGTATAGTTTCCCGAGTACGCCTCAAAGCGCGGGGCCAGCACCTTGAAGAGCTTGTGGATCAGGTCCTTCTCCTATGGGGGTAAGAAATACGTAAAGTGAATTTCACAAAGTTGGGATGAGCTAAAGAGAAGGAGAAGGGAGTGAAAAGGAACAAGAAGGAGTGAAGGAATGTGAGATAGATAAGGTTACTAACATGTTGCTAAGGCAAAGGTATGAGCAAACTTGGGCCCACTGGGCATTTTGGCAAGGAAGAGAGACAGGGCCTTCTCAGTGGTGGCCCCTCGGCTGTAGAATGCCCTTCATAGAATCATAGAATCCAAGAGTTGAAAAAGACCTTATGGGCCGTCATCCAGTCCAACCCCATTCTGCCAAGAAGCAGGAATATTGCATTCAAATCACCCCCGACAGATGGCCATCCAGCCTCTGCTTAAAAGCTTCCAAAGAAGGAGCCTCCACCACACTCCGGGGCAAAGAGTTCCACTGCTGAACAGCTCTCACAGTCAGGAAGTTCTTCCTCATGTTCAGGTGGAATCTCCTCTCTTGTAGTTTGAAGCCATGGCTCCATTGCGTCCTAGTCTCCAGGGAAGCAGAAAACAAGCTTGCTCCCCGCTCCCTGTGGCTTCCTCTCACATATTTATACATGGCTATGATATCCCCTCTCAGCCTTCTCTTCTTCAGGCTAAACATGCCCAGCTCCTTAAGCCGCTCCTCATAGGGCTTGTTCTCCAGACCCTGCATCATTTTAGTCGCCCTCCTCTGGACACATTCCAGTGGAGAGCGACTTCCTACAGAAACTCCCACAATTCCTAACAGCCGGAATACCTGGAGGGAGAGCCCAAGTTTGCCCACACCTGGTGTAAAAGATAGAAAAAGAAAAGGATGTTTGGGTGACTGTAGGTTTTCAGGGCTGTATGGCCACGTAAGCTCAACAAAATCCCACTTATACAGAAAATAGAAAATAATAGAATTCAGCATATAATTCTATACACTTGTTATACTGTTCCAATTCACAATAATCACAAACAATATTTATAGGCCAAAACTGGAAAAAAAAAACTATTTAAAATGGATTTTGGCCTATAAATGAAGGGGACCCCAAGAACATGCACACTTCCTGGTCCGCGGCAATGGGAACGTCCGCACCTTCTCAGAGGAAAGCTGATCATCTCCGTCTGGAGAAGGCCTGTGTGTGAGAGAGTATGCATGAATGTGTGTGTGCAAGAGAATTCTCCCTTGATGTGATTCTGATATGATTCTGTGATGATTGTATTTCAATAAATGTTACATGAATAGTGTTTATTTATTTATTTATATATATAAGTTAAATAAATAAATAGTGTTAAAACCAAATTTGGTCTCTAAAGTGTCTCACTGGTCTAAACTACCTTACTATTCCTTGAACACTCTGCACAAAAGAACAGAAACCTCTTTGGGGTCATAACAGTACTTTTGGAGGGGAAGAGAGACAGGGTCTTCTCAGTGGTGGCCCCTCGGCTGTGGAACACCCTTCCTACAGAAATTAGATTGGCCCTCTCCCTGTTGACATTTCTGATGGCCTTTGGCGAACCCGCTGACATCCCCTCGTGACCCCTCCGGGGGTCCCGACCCCCAGGTTGAGAAATGCTGGAATATAGGAATATGGAACAATTGGATATTGTTGATATTGTTGATCTTGATATTGACTATGAGACGCTAATGAGATGTTTGATTGATTTATATAGACTGTTTATTATGCTATTGTTTTAATTGTTTCTAACTGTTTCGTGGTGCTTTTGAGCATTGCATTTGGCTATTGTTAACCGCTCTGAGTCGCCCCAGGGCTGAGAGGAGCAGGATACAGATATAGTAAATAATAAATAAATATATGCAAAGCAAAGCAATGGAACGGCAAGGTCGTGCAGTTCAAAGGCAATGCAGTGCAATGCAAGGGAAATCAATAGTTTGCAATACAATTCAATCCAGGGAATGCAATGTGAGGCAATTCAAGGCAAGGCAAAGCAAGGGAATGCAATTCAATGTATTGTCGAAGGCTTTCATGGCTGGAATCACTAGGTTCTTGTAGGCTTTGTCGGGCTATAGGGCCATGTTCTAGAGGCATTTCTCCTGACGTTTCGCCTACATCTATGGCAAGCATCCTCAGAGGTAGTGAGGTCTGTTGGAATTAGGAAAATGGGTTTATATATCTGTGGAATGACTGGAGTGGGGCAAAGAGCTCTTCTCTGCTGGAGCTAGGTGTGAATGTTTCAGCTGACCACCTTCATTAGCATTTGAAGGCCTGGCTGAGCCTGGGAAAATCTTTTGTTGAGAGGTGTTAAGATGTGCCTGGTTGTTTCTTTTCTGCTGTTTTGCTGTTGTAATTTTAGAGTTCTTTAATACTAGTAGCCAGATTTTGTTCATTTTCATGGTTTTCTCCTTTCTGTTGAAATTGTCCACCTGTTTTTTGTGGATTTCAATGGCTTCCCTGTGTAGTCTGACATGGTGGTTGTGAGAGTGGTCCAGCATTTCTGTGTTCTCAAATAATGTGCTGTGTCCAGGCTGGTTCATCAGGTGCTCTGCTATGGCTGACTTCTCTGGTTGAAGGAGTCTGCAGTGCCTTCCATGTTCCTTGATGCGTGTCTGGGCGCTGCTGCGTGTGGTGGTCCCTCTGTAGACTTCTTGTCCACAGCTGCATGGTATACGGTAGACTCCTGCAGAGGTGAGGGGATCCCTCTTGTCCTTTGCTGAACGGAGCATTTGTTGGATTTTCTTGGTGGGTTTGTAGATTGTTTGTATGTTGTGTTTCCTCATCAGCTTCCCTATGCGGTCAGTGGTTCCCTTGATGTATGGCAGGAACACTTTTCCTCTGGGTGGATCTTCATCTTCACTCTCGTGGCTTGTTCTTGGTCTTGCAGCTCTTCTGATGCCTGAGGTGGAGTCTCCCTTGGCCTGGAGAGCCCAGTTGAGGTGGTTCAGTTCATCTTGGAGGAGGTGGGCTGCGCAGATTCTTTTTGCACAGTCTGCCAAGGCTTGAATGGGGCTTCTTTTTTGACTTGGGTGATGGTTGGAGTTTTGATGTAGATATCTATCTGCGTGTGTGGGTTTTCTGTAAACGGTGTGACCCAATTGTTGATCTGGTTTGCGGATGACTAGGACATCTAGAAAAGGCAGTCTTCCTTCATTTTCTTTTTCCATGGTGAATTGGATGTTTGGGTGGATGCTGTTGAGATGGTCCAGGAACCTGTTGAGTTCTTCTTCTCCATGGCTCCAAATGGTGAAAGTGTCATCCACATATCTGAACCATATGTTTGGGTGGATGCTGTTGAGATGGTCCAGGAACCTGTTGAGTTCTTCTTCTCCATGGCTCCAAATGGTGAAGGTGTCATCCACATATCTGAACCATATGTTTGGGTGGATGCTGTGGAGATGGTCCAGGAACCTGTTGAGTTCTTCTTCTCCATGGCTCCAAATGGTGAAGGTGTCATCCACATATCTGAACCATATGTTTGGGTGGATGCTGTTGAGATGGTCCAGGAACCTGTTGAGTTCTTCTTCTCCATGGCTCCAAATGGTGAAGGTGTCATCCACATATCTGAACCATATGTTTGGGTGGATGCTGTGGAGATGGTCCAGGAACCTGTTGAGTTCTTCTTCTCCATGGCTCCAAATGGTGAAGATGTCATCCACATATCTGAACCATATGTTTGGGTGGATGCTGTTGAGATGGTCCAGGAACCTGTTGAGTTCTTCTTCTCCATGGCTCCAAATGGTGAAGGTGTCATCCACATATCTGAACCATATGTTTGGGTGGATGCTGTTGAGATGATCCAGGAACCTGTTGAGTTCTTCTTCTCCATGGCTCCAAATGGTGAAAGTGTCATCCACATATCTGAACCATATGTTTCAGTGGATGCTGTTGAGATGATCCAGGAACCTGTTGAGTTCTTCTTCTCCATGGCTCCAAATGGTGAAAGTGTCATCCACATATCTGAACCATATGTTTCAGTGGATGCTGTTGAGATGATCCAGGAACCTGTTGAGTTCTTCTTCTCCATGGCTCCAAATGGTGAAAGTGTCATCCACATATCTGAACCATATGTTTGGGTGGATGCTGTTGAGATGATCCAGGAACCTGTTGAGTTCTTCTTCTCCATGGCTCCAAATGGTGAAAGTGTCATCCACATATCTGAACCATATGTTTCAGTGGATGCTGTTGAGATGATCCAGGAACCTGTTGAGTTCTTCTTCTCCATGGCTCCAAATGGTGAAAGTGTCATCCACATATCTGAACCATATGTTTCAGTGGATGCTGTTGAGATGATCCAGGAACCTGTTGAGTTCTTCTTCTCCATGGCTCCAAATGGTGAAAGTGTCATCCACATATCTGAACCATATGTTTCAGTGGATGCTGTTGAGATGATCCAGGAACCTGTTGAGTTCTTCTTCTCCATGGCTCCAAATGGTGAAAGTGTCATCCACATATCTGAACCATATGTTTCAGTGGATGCTGTTGAGATGATCCAGGAACCTGTTGAGTTCTTCTTCTCCATGGCTCCAAATGGTGAAAGTGTCATCCACATATCTGAACCATATGTTTCAGTGGATGCTGTTAAGATGGTCCAGGAACCTGTTGAGTTCTTCTTCTCCATGGCTCCAAATGGTGAAAGTGTCATCCACATATCTGAACCATATGTTTCAGTGGATGCTGTTGAGATGATCCAGGAACCTGTTGAGTTCTTCTTCTCCATGGCTCCAAATGGTGAAAGTGTCATCCACATATCTGAACCATATGTTTCAGTGGATGCTGTTGAGATGATCCAGGAACCTGTTGAGTTCTTCTTCTCCATGGCTCCAAATGGTGAAAGTGTCATCCACATATCTGAACCATATGTTTCAGTGGATGCTGTTGAGATGATCCAGGAACCTGTTGAGTTCTTCTTCTCCATGGCTCCAAATGGTGAAAGTGTCATCCACATATCTGAACCATATGTTTCAGTGGATGCTGTTGAGATGATCCAGGAACCTGTTGAGTTCTTCTTCTCCATGGCTCCAAATGGTGAAAGTGTCATCCACATATCTGAACCATATGTTTCAGTGGATGCTGTTGAGATGATCCAGGAACCTGTTGAGTTCTTCTTCTCCATGGCTCCAAATGGTGAAAGTGTCATCCACATATCTGAACCATATGTTTCAGTGGATGCTGTTGAGATGATCCAGGAACCTGTTGAGTTCTTCTTCTCCATGGCTCCAAATGGTGAAAGTGTCATCCACATATCTGAACCATATGTTTCAGTGGATGCTGTTGAGATGATCCAGGAACCTGTTGAGTTCTTCTTCTCCATGGCTCCAAATGGTGAAAGTGTCATCCACATATCTGAACCATATGTTTCAGTGGATGCTGTTAAGATGGTCCAGGAACCTGTTGAGTTCTTCTTCTCCATGGCTCCAAATGGTGAAAGTGTCATCCACATATCTGAACCATATGTTTCAGTGGATGCTGTTGAGATGGTCCAGGAACCTGTTGAGTTCTTCTTCTCCATGGCTCCAAATGGTGAAAGTGTCATCCACATATCTGAACCATATGTTTCAGTGGATGCTGTTGAGATGATCCAGGAACCTGTTGAGTTCTTCTTCTCCATGGCTCCAAATGGTGAAAGTGTCATCCACATATCTGAACCATATGTTTCAGTGGATGCTGTTAAGATGGTCCAGGAACCTGTTGAGTTCTTCTTCTCCATGGCTCCAAAGGGTGAAAGTGTCATCCACATATCTGAACCATATGTTTGGGTGGATGCTGTTGAGATGGTCCAGGAACCTGTTGAGTTCTTCTTCTCCATGGCTCCAAATGGTGAAAGTGTCATCCACATCTCTGAACCATATGTTTGGGTGGATGCTGTTGAGATGGTCCAGGAACCTGTTGAGTTCTTCTTCTCCATGGCTCCAAATGGTGAAAGTGTCATCCACATATCTGAACCATATGTTTCAGTGGATGCTGTTGAGATGATCCAGGAACCTGTTGAGTTCTTCTTCTCCATGGCTCCAAATGGTGAAAGTGTCATCCACATATCTGAACCATATGTTTCAGTGGATGCTGTTGAGATGATCCAGGAACCTGTTGAGTTCTTCTTCTCCATGGCTCCAAATGGTGAAAGTGTCATCCACATCTCTGAACCATATGTTTCAGTGGATGCTGTTGAGATGATCCAGGAACCTGTTGAGTTCTTCTTCTCCATGGCTCCAAATGGTGAAAGTGTCATCCACATATCTGAACCATATGTTTCAGTGGATGCTGTTGAGATGATCCAGGAACCTGTTGAGTTCTTCTTCTCCATGGCTCCAAATGGTGAAAGTGTCATCCACATATCTGAACCATATGTTTCAGTGGATGCTGTTGAGATGGTCCAGGAACCTGTTGAGTTCTTCTTCTCCATGGCTCCAAATGGTGAAAGTGTCATCCACATATCTGAACCATATGTTTGGGTGGATGCTGTTGAGATGGTCCAGGAACCTGTTGAGTTCTTCTTCTCCGTGGCTCCAAAGGGTGAAGTTGTCATCCACATATCTGAACCATATGTTTGGGTGGATGCTGTTGAGATGGTCCAGGAACCTGTTGAGTTCTTCTTCTCCATGGCTCCAAATGGTGAAGGTGTCATCCACATATCTGAACCATAGAGTGGTCTTTTTGGTTGCTGTCTCCAGGTTGCTGTCTTCCTCAGAGGTTGCTTGCCATAGATGCAGGCGAAACGTCAGGAGAAAATGCCTCTAGAACATGGCCATATAGCCCGAAAAAACCCCCACAAGAACCTAATAAATAAATAAATAAATAAATGGTTCCTCTGCCTTTTCTAAACCCAGCTTGTGCATCAACTTCCACAATTCCTATGCAGTTTAAGGGCAATGCAATGCAACACAAATGGGTTCCAGACAATGTAATGTAATGCAAGGCAATTGAATGGAATGAACGCAATGGGATGCAATTCAGTGCAAGTTAAGGCAAAGCAAAGCAATGGAATGGCAAGGCAAGGCAATGCCATGAATGGATTTCCAAGGGAGAGCTCCCCAATGGCCTCCAAGGCAGGACTCGCTTGCTCGCTCGCTTGCTCACCGTGAGCCAGAAGTCGGCCATGCGCATGGCGCGGGGGTTGGTGTCGCCCTGCTTGGCGAAGTCAATCAGCTGGGGAGAAAGGTCAACAAGGTCAGAATAGCACTTTTGAAGGGAAGCCCCGCCCACCTCGCCTCCCATTGGGTGGCCGCCCCGGAGGCCCCGCCCACAGTCCAATCAGAACAACTTTTGAAAGGGAGCCCCGCCCATATAGTTTCCCATTGGATGAGAGCCCCAAAGGTCCCGCCCACAGTCCAATCAGAACACCTGAAAGGGAGCTCTGCCCACATAGTTTCCCATTGGATAAAAATCCCGAAAGTTCCGCCCACAGTCCAATCAGAAGAACTTTTGAAAGCCAGCCACGCCCACATAGTTCCCCATTGGATGAAAATCCCGAAGGTCCCGCCCACAACCTAAGGGAAATAATTTTTGAAGGGAAAGCCTCGCCTAACTCGTTTCTCATTGGATGAAAGCCCGAAAGGCCCCGCCCACAGCCACCCCCATTGGACGGCCGCCTCCCAGAGGCCCGCCCCCTCCTTCCCTTCCTCTTCCCGTCCCAGAGGCCCCGCCCACAGTCAAATGAGAACTTTTGAAAGGAAGCCCCGCCCACATAGTTTCCCATTGGATGAAAACCCCGAAGGTTCCGCCCACAGCCAAAGGAATGGATGTTTGAAGAGAAAGCCTCGCCCACATCATTTCTCATTGGATGAAAGCCCCAAATGCCCCGCCTACGACCACTCCGATTGGACGGCTGCCTCCCCGAGACCCGCCCCCTCCCTCCTTCCCTCGGCTCACGCGCTCGGCGTAGAAGCGCATCTCGTCTGCGCGTGCGCGGGGGGCCTCGATCCGCTCGTGCCGCACCAGCCCCGTGACCAGGTTCCGGAGCAGGTCGAGCCGCGAGCGCGGGCCCAGGCCGAAGCGCCGCTGCACCCGCCCGTGCGAGATCAGCGCCGCCACCGAGAGGCGCATCCTGGCGGGCCTGGCGCCGGAGCCGGAAGTCCCGCCCCACTTCTTCCGCCCGTGACTTCTTCCGGCATCCTGGCCATCGAGTTACAGCGGGCTAGAGTGGCCACCGGATTTCCTGTTTCAGGATCCAAATGAAGGGAAAACTTTGACATCTTTCCAAGGTTATGCAAGACATCTGAACTATTATTTAAATCATTCTAGGAATCCTGAATTTGGAAGGTTACCCTGGAGGCCATCCAGCCTGACCCCCTTCTGCCAGGCAAGAAGTAACCATCAAAACCCTCCTGACAGATGGCCAGCCAGCTTTCCAAGGTTATGCAAGACATCTGAACTATTTTTAAAAAATCATTCTAGGAATCCTGAATTTGGAGGGGAACCCTTGAGGCCATCCAGCCTGACCCCCTTCTGCCAGGCAAGGAGGCACAACCAAAATCCTCCTGACAGATGGCCAGCCAGCCCCATCCATACATTCTGTGTAGCTCTGCTTTTAGACTTTTGTTATAAAACACTAGACTTGGGAGGGGATCCTCCAGAGGTCATCTAGGCCAACCCACTACTCGGGATCCTTCTACACTGCCATGTCATCCAGATTATCAAAGCAGGTAATTCACATTATTGGTTTTGAACTGGATTATATGAGGCTACACTGCTGTATAATCCAGATAATCTGGATTTTAAATGGCAGTGAAGAAGCCACCAAAGGCTAAAATGGCATTTGTCTTTGGGATGGACATCTGTTGGGGGTGCTTTGGTGGTTTTCCTGCCTGGAAGAATGGATTGGATAGCCCATGGGGTGTCCCTTCCACACAGCCATATATCCCAAAATATATCCCAGATGCTCAGCCTGTCATTGAACACTGAGAATACCAAAGTGCTGTTCCAGCAGTCACCAGCCAATCCCTCTCCCGACGCCAGCTTAATGGTGTAACATTATTTTATTTATTTATAATTTATGTATTATTTATTTACACCATGTCAGACTACACAGAGAAGCCACTGAAATCCACAAGAAGCATGTGGACAATTTCAACAGAAAGGAGGAAACCATGAAAATGAACAAAATCTGGCTCCCAGTATTAAAAAACTCTAAAATTACAACAGCAAAACAGCAGAGAGGAAACAACCAGGCACATCTTAACACCTCTCAACAAAAGATTTTCCCAGGCTCAGCCAGGCCTTCAAATGCTAATGAAGGTGGTCAGTTGAAACATTCACACCTAGCTCCAGCAGAGAAGAGCTCTTTGCCCCACCCCAGCCATTCCACAGATATATAAACCCATTGTCCTAATTCCAACAGACCTCACTACCTCTGAGGATGCTTGCCATAGATGCAGGCGAAACGTCAGGAGAAATGCCTCTAGAACATGGCTCTATAGCCCGAAAAAACCCACAAGAACCTAGTGATTCCAGCCATGAAAGCCTTCGACAATACATTTATTTATTTATTTCTCGCACTTCTACCCTGCCCTTCTCAACCCCTGAGGGGGGACTCAGGGCGGCTTACAACAGAAACAATTCGATGCCAGCACAACAATAAGATAAAAAATAAACATATATAAACAGTAATTAAAACAATCCATTATACATCATAATCCATAAAAACCAATCTAATGCTCAACGTTTGCCAGCTCAGAGTCCGTAAATTCAATTCCACATTGTCAAATCCATCAATTCTGGTCGTTGCTTGTCCTTTGTCTATCTGCCAGATTACCCAAAGGCCTGGCCCCATATCCATGTTTTTAGTTTCCTTCTAAAAGAGAGGAGGGATGTCAGTGACCTAATTTCCCCAGAGAGTGAGTTCCACAGGTGAGGGGCCACCACCGAGAAGGCCCTGCTCCTCGTCCCCACCAACCTCACTTGTGATAGAGGTGGGGCCAACAGCAGGGCCTCCCCAGAAGGTCTCAAACTTCAAGGCGGGACGTAGAGGGAGATGTGTTCGGACAGATACGCTGGGCCGGAACCGTATAGGGTTTTGTAGGTTAAAACCAGCACTTTGAATTATGCTCGGAACTGGATCGGCAGCCAGTGGAGCTGACATAACAGGGGGTGGTGTGGTCCCTGTATGACGCTCCGGTGAGTAGTCTGGCTGCCTCCCACTGGACTAGTTGTAGTTTCCAAACAGTCTTCAAAGGCAACCCCCATATATATGTTATTATATTACATAATATATAATTACATAATATATAAATTTGTGAACATCCTGCGGCTCCTCCATGATGACATGATGGCAACAGTCTTGGACAGCAACGGCTCTCAAAGTGACCCATTTAAGGTGGAATTGGGTGTCAAACAGGGATGTGTTATTGCCCCAACTCTATTCTCCATCTTCATCGCTATGATACTTCACCTTGTTGACGGGAAGCTTCCCACCGGAGTGGAAATCATTGATCGGACAGATGGCAAGCTATTCAACCTCAGCAGACTGAAAGCCAAAACCAAGGTTACAACAACATCTGCTATAGAACTCCAGTATGCTGATGACAATGTCGTCTGTGCGCATACAGAAGAAGATCTACAAGCCACTCTAAACACCTTCGCAGAAGCATACACGAAGCTTGGCCTGTCACTGAACATCGAGAAAACCAAGGTGCTGTTCCAGCAGTCGCCAGCCAACCCCTCTCCAATGCCAGAGATACAGCTTAATGGTGTAACATTAGAAAATGTGGACCATTTCCGCTCCCTTGGCAGCCATCTCTCCACCAAAGTCAACATTGACACCAAAATACAACACCGCCTGAGCTCTGCAAGCGCAGCATTTTCCCGAATGAAGCAGAGAGTGTTTGAGGACCGGGACATCCGTAGGGATACCATGTTGCTTGTCTATAAAGCTATTGTCCTCCCAACGCTGCTCTATGCCTGTGAGACGTGGACTGTCTACAGACGTCACATGCAGCTCCAGGAACGATTCCATCAGCGCTGCCTCTGGAAAATCCTGCAAATCTCCTGGGAAGACAAGCGGACAAACGTCAGTGTGCTGGAAGAAGCAAAGACCACCAGCATTGAAGCGATGGTCCTCCAACATCAACTCCGCTGGGCTGGCCACGTCGTCCGGATGCCTGACCACCGTCTCCCAAAGCAGTTGCTCTACTCTGAACTTAAGGACGGAAAACGGAACGTTGGTGGACAGGAAAAGAGATTTAAAGATGGGCTCAAAGCCAACCTTAAAAACTCTGGTATAGGCACTGAGAACTGGGAAGCCCTGGCCCTTGAGCGCTCCAGCTGGAGGTCAGCTGTGACCAGCAGTGCTGCAGAATTTGAGGAGGCACGAGTGGAGGGTGAAAGAGTGAAACGTGCCAGGAGGAAGGCGCGTCAAGCCAACCCCAACCGGGACCGCCTTCTACCTGGAAACCAATGCCCTCACTGCGGGAGAAGATGCAGATCTAAAATAGGGCTCCACAGCCACATGCGGACCCACAAGGAAATCCATCACGGAAGACCATCTTACTCGTCCAAGGAGGGATCGCCTAAGTAAGTAAGTAATATATAATATTATCTCTATATAAAATGTATCATATTACAGTATACTATATGTGTATTAGTATATAGTATATTATATACATTAATATAATATATATTATATTATATAAAACAATAATATATATATATATTTATATTACATAATATATGTAATATAATATCTCTATATAAACTATATTATATTACAGTATATTATATATACGCGTCCTTCTTGGGAGGAGAGCAATGTCCAATCTCGATAAAATAGTAAAGAGTAGAGACATCAGACTGGCAACCAAGATCCATTGCCTAGTCAAAGCCATGGCATTCCCTGTAGTCACCTACAGATGTGAGAGCTGGACCTTCGGGAAGGCGGAGCGAAGGAAGAGAGACGCTTTTGAGCTGTGGTGTTGGAGGAAAGTTCTGAGAGTGCCTTGGACTGCGAGAAGATCCAACCAGTCCATCCTCCAGGAAATAAAGCCCAGCTGCTCACTGGAGGGAAAGATACTAAAGACAAAGTGGAAGTCCTTTGGCCACATCATGAGGAGACAGGAAAGCATAGAGAAGGGAATGATGCTGGGGAAAGGGGAAGGCAAAAGGAAGAGGGGCCGACCAAGGGCAAGATGGATGGATGGCATCCTTGAAGTGACTGGACTGACCTTGAGGGAGCTGGGGGTGGTGATGGCAGACAGGGAGCTCTGGCGTGGGCTGGTCCATGAGGTCACGAAGAGTCGGAGACGACTGAACGAATGAACAACAACATATTATATATATATTAATATATATTATGTAAAATAACTCTTAAGGAAACCTGGGGTTTGTAGTTTAGTGGGAGTCGGCGCTCTCTGGCTGAGAAGGTTGAAGGGCCCTCCCTTGACTGCAACTCCCAGGATTCCTTTTGAGGCAGCCATAGGGGCCAAAGTGGAATGAGAGTACAGTGTGATAATATCCTAAGAGGAGGTCGTGTTTGGGAATGTTCTTAAGACATTGCTCTTACCCCGGGTTTCCGTCCTTCTCCATAAAGACCAGAGAATAGCTCCTGAACCCAACGCCTCTTGAGTTATGGAGCCCAAGACAGACCCTCTTCCCACCCCTGTGGCCCTTGGCACACACCCACCGGGGCCCCTGGCCTACCCAGGGCCTTCCTCTGCTCCTCCAGGCTGCTGGGCGGAGGGGGGCTGGAGAAGGGCTCCATCCAGGGTCCCCCATGGTCCCAGTGCTGCCCCCCTCCTGAGACCCCCCTTTTTGGGTCTCTGTAAAAGATCATTCAAAATCAGGGAAGTCATAGTTTTGCCAAGGACACCAGGCTGGAATGAACCCATAATCCCCTATCTCTCCCTCAGTGGGAACCTAAGGCTCTTTCCGTGGCCCCACATGGCAACGCCCCTGTAACCCAAACTAGCATCTGACCAATTTGGCTATTATTTATTAATGGGATTTATAGTTTTCTCCTCTTCAGTGGATGGATCTCGACCCTCAGCGCTCATAGCAACTCCAACATGCTCCCCATGGACTCTTAGGAACTCTCCAAGGCCCCCTATGAACTTTTCCCCAACTCTCATGAACTTTTGAAACTTTTTGGAACTTGAA